CCCTCGCGCTCCCCTGCGTCGCGCCCCTCTGACCTCGTCCCGCAACACCCCACGACCCCCCGCGACCCCCCGCCCCGCCAGCCCTGGTGGCGCTGCGCGCGCTGCAGGGCGCGGCGGTGTCTGCCATGATGGTGTCGTCCAACGCGGTGCTGGCGGACTCGTGGGAGCCCGCGCAGCGCGGCAAGGCCATGGGCATCTTCATGATCCCCACACGTGAGCCCCTTCCCGTCACCCTCACCCCACGCCACACACGCCACCCCACCTGCCGCACGACGGCCCACGCCCGCCTGTTGCCATTCCGCTTGGTACCCGCACCCGGGGATTTGGGAAGATCTGCGGGCGCCTCCTGACAAGTACCGCGCTGCATGTCGTCAGCGCCACTTGCAACTCGCTCGGGCATTTCCGCCAGCGGCGAGGGCCCCTGCCGCAACTGCGCGCGCTTCCCCCGGTGCCCGCCCCGCGCTGTCTGCCCCCTCCTGTCCTGCAGTTGTCGGCCCCATCGTCGGCCCCCTGCTGGGCGGCGGGCTGTCTCAGGGTCTGGGGTGGCGCAGCACCTTTGTGGCCATGGCCATATGCGGCGGGGCCATCTTTTTGGCACTCCTCTTCTTCATGGAGGAGGTGAGTGAGGGAAAGAAAGAGTGCGTACGTGTGTGTATGTGCGTGTGTGTTCGTGTGCGTTTGTGTGAGACGTCAACCTGCGCAGGTTTTATGTGTGGCCACACAAGCCTGTGCCCGCTCACGCGCGCAACAGCCCTCTCACTGACAACTGCCCGCACCTCACCACCACTGCTGCACCGCCCTTCACCCCCAAAAAACATCCCCGTCAGACCAACCACCACCACGTGCTGAAGGTGAGCAGGGCGCCCACCTCCCCCTGCCGCACGCATGCCGCCCCGGGCAGGTCTGTTCTGCTCTCATCCTTGCTCGGCTCAGGGGTGGCGCCACCTGCGCCCTTGCCTCTGCACCCCGCTTCGTCGCAACACGCTGAGCTCATTCTCTAAGAAACCCGCTCGTCGCCTCCGCCATGTGCCTGCGTCCTTCCCCTCTCTCAGAGGATCCGCACTGTTGAGGGCCTGCAGGCGGCCAAGTCCATCCGCGAGCACGACTCCATCCCCAAGCCGGTCTTCCGGGCACCTTGGTACCCCCTCAGGCGAGCCACCGCGTCACGCGCCCTGCTTGCTCGTGTTGTCGTCGTCTTTGCGTCGAGGCGTGCTCTCGGGCTGCGCCGCGCCCCTGGGGCTGCGGCCTGTGCCCGCGCCCAGCCAATGCAGGGAGGGCTTGCCTTCAGCCGTTGCACCTGATCCCACTCAGCCTCTTACCCGCCCCACACACACACACTGACACACGCACGCGCACACGCATCCTTTCATGCCCGCTCCCTTGTCCAGACCCCAGACATCCAGGTCCACCTTGTAATCCTCTGATTTCA